CCTGTTGGCAAGCACTTTGGATATACCCTTGTAAAGTGTATTGCAGCAGGATATTGGACGAAAGTCTTTCATCTTTTCAGCATTTGGAACCTTAGCCACCAGGGTAAATAGGGTAGAATTAATTGCCTTAGGCATTATCCCAGTTTGGAAAAAATTAAGAGCCACATCTTCAACCAAGGAGCCAATTAGATCCCAATGTAACCTGAAAAATTCAGAAGGAAAACCATCTGGACCTGGCGCCTTATCCCTCCCTAAACTGAAGAAAACATCTTTAATTTCCTGCCTAGTTATGGGCTTAATCATATCTGCTGCCACCTCTGTTGAAAGACTTTTAACCTTCAGCTGTTCATAGAAACTAGAGGGTTGCAGCATTACCTCAGAGTTGACTGTACCAATCAAATTAGAATAGAAGTCCATAGCCACTTTACCAATACCTTTTATATCAGTTACTTCCCTTCCTTGATCATCCAGAATCCTGGATATTTGCTGCCTGTGATTGTGCACCTTAACAGTTTTGTGAAAAAATGCAGTATTAAGATCCCCTTCCTGCACACTCTGAGCTCTGGCTTTCTGTTTATAGAAGCTCTCTTCTGCCCTTTTAAGTTCCAGACACTTCCTGGCCAGTATCCCTTCTTCTTCAACAAGTAGATCAGTTGGATTGTGTAACAATGCAGCCTGCAAGGTCTCCAGCTTCCCTTCTACCTCCCTAGTCTTAGCAAAGATATTAGAGTAATCTTCTCTGTTCAATTGCCTCAAGAACCTCTTTACATTCCTCAACTTCCCATAAAACACATAGGAAGGCCAACCCTCAACCTCCAATTTCCAAGCATCAACAACCAACTGCATATAAGAGGGATGACTCACCCAAAATTTGAAGTATTTAAAGGGCTTAGGCAAACTACTAATCTCAGGTATGGGAGCAAACAAAATCCCATAGTGATCTGATATCCCTGGAGAAGTAGTCTGTGCAACACTCACTGGGAAAGTAGTAAGCCAAGCATCATTCACAAGCACCCTATCAAGGCGCCTAGCAATAGGATTTCCCCTCTGTTTGTTCCACCATGTAAACCAACTCCCTGGTTCTTTGTGATCAACCAACTTCATCTCTTCAATCCATTTTTGGAAATTCCCCATGCTAGCAGAGACTGTCTCAAGATTGGAGGTTTCAGTAGGGTCCCTGACAGCGTTGAAATCCCCCATTACCACCATAGGAATCAAACACTCATTATGAGCCAATAACTCTCTATATAAATCCAATCTCTCTGACTCCTTGTTTGGACTATAAACCACTATCAGGATAAACTGCACTGCTCCCCTCACCAAGACCTTCAAAAAGTGTTTGCCAAATTCTAGTTTTGTAACTGAAATGCTATCTTTCCAAAATAACCAAATCCTACCATTTGGAGACTTGGGGTAGTTATTCATATGCTGCAAATGACTAAATCTAGTATCAATTATACCCTTACTATTTTCAACTTTAACTCTAGTCTTTATAATTGCAAAAATGTCGAGCTGATGCATACGTAACTTTTGAAGCACTGCAGAGTGCTTCTCAGGAGCATTGAAGCCCCCTGATATTCCAGCATAATATTTTCATTTCTTTTTCTTACCACGCCCCCTACCTTTAGCAGGTTGCAGCGGCTCAGCACTCATTTTCCATACTGGTTTACTCAAGGAAGGGAAAGCCTTATCATCCAGAGGAATCTTCTTCTGACCAGTGAACAAATTCCATGGGCTCTTGGCTATAGAAGTAGGATCAGGAGCCCTGACTCTATTCTTGCGACCAGTTACCACCTGAAACCCATCCTCTGGATTAGGAGTAGAACTACTAGCCCCCACCACTAAATCCACCTGCATCTCCACACCCTTAACTACCTGCATAACCTCCTGCACACTAGCTTCAGCCTGCCCATCATCCACCACCTTCGTACCAGCCTCAGCCTGCACAGTAGCCTCCTCAGTAATCACCTCCTGTACCCCCAATTCAAGCTGAGGCACAATCACCATATCCATTTTCTCCTTACCTTTTGTGCCATCTGATACTATTTCTTTGATTTTTGGCTGTTTAACCCTCCAAACACGCTTTACTTCTCCACCTGGATTTGCACAATCATGACCAAAGATACCACACTTCTCACATTTTCGAGGCACATGACAGAACTCCACATCCACCAACATCTCAGGCCAGCCCTCAGGAGTAATACTAAGCTTATTGATCAGCATAGTTTTGGTAGTGATTTCAACGCAGACCTTAGCAACCCCATACTTGGTCCCCTGCTTCGTTGGATAATCCATACAGAGAGGCCGCCGTAACGAGCTAGCAAGACGCCCTAACCCTTCCTTTGAAGTTAACTCAGATGGCAGATTTGACAATCGAACCCATACAGGAACAGCCAAGTTATCAATAGCTAAAGGTTGAATACCTGGTTCCCACCGCCTGAGCAGGACCATGTTCTCGCGATGATGCCATGGACCCCCTTCAAACACCCAGCGGCAGACCTCTGCAGACGGGAGCTGAAAGAGTACCAGGCGCTCCCCCAACCACGAAACTCGAACCATCCCATCGCGCCCCCATATCCTATTCTCCCAGTAGTGAATCGAAGATAGAGATGCCGGCCGATCCATAAATTTCCCAACCAAGCTGTTCACCCATCGCTTCTCCCCTGCTTCAATCACCGACTTTGGTATACGAAGAGACCCGTTTACAAACTCCGGTTCATAGTAATCGAGTTTAAAGTCAGGACTAACTGTGAAAAGAGAGGCCCAGGTACGCCCGTCACCGACGGCACCTGAACTGGCTCCGCCGGTGACGGTCGCCATCAAGAACCCTAACGACGACGCGCTCAGAGAGAAGAGAGAGGGGAGAGAGGGGAGAGAAGTTGAAGTTAACTTTTGAGGTAGACTCTGGATTTACTATTTCATATGTTCTTATCATTAATATTTAATTACTGTGTCATAAAACATCACTTACAAGTTAATATTTTGTCCAAAGATAAAATATTAATGGAGTGCAAGGTGTCTTGAGATGGAGTAAACCTTTATTTAAATTATTATTGTAATTCTCTCTTAAGAATAATTAATCACTTATTTGGAATTTTTTGATTATGAGAGAATTGTCCGGTATTTTAATTAAATTAATTTTAGCAGTATGTTGCCAAAGTAACCTCTACTTGCGAAAAATTATTTAACTTAGATTACATGGATGTAAGTGTAAGATTATTTTATGTGGGTTGTGCTCGACCCAAAGGACGACATTGTTTGACCAAAATAATCAAGCACATTAATGGTAAATACGTGATAATTATAAAGTTGTTGTTCATGTGAATAACAGTCGGTCCATAGATAGACTGTTGTTTGACAGAACTTATTATCAGTATTTGATCATTGTATTAAGAGTACCGCTCGCAGTTAATTTCTCTGTCCAAAGACTAAGAATTAATGTTGCATTTGGTATCTTATGATGGGTTCCCCAAAATTGGATAAAGTCCTTGTCTTGTTTAATTACATGGCTTGATGTGTGTTTTCTTTTATCTCAATATAGTTTTCGTGCTTTGGTTTAAACATTTATGTCGAAATTAAAGTTAACTCTTATGTTAAATGGGATGAATCTAAAGAATTTAAAGTAAATTCAAGACAATTATTCTCGATATATAGGCATTGATCTTGCGCTTTTATGTGGAACAATCCCTATTGTACTTCGAAAAATCTCAATGAGATTTAATAATAGCGAATAGAGATATATCCAGTTCAATGTGCATGATGATCATTAAGCGCGTACTGAGATCCTTTGAGGTTTATTGAAGTAATAATACAGTATTTTGCCAAAACATAATAGGATCCGGAATAAGCTGCCTATTGAGGTAATTTAATCCATAAAGTGTAAAGGCAAAATGTACAAGTGTATTATATTTTGGAGGTGTCAAAAGACATACTCAACACTTGGTTTAATTTATCTTCCTCCATTAAGTTTTAGGTGAGTACTAATATTCACAAAAGAAGAGGAGAGAAGATACGAGATAAGAATGAACTCAATTACTAAACCTCAAATTCTCAGTAAAGGAACAAATAGAGAGTTAAGGATGATATGGTTTCGTTGAACTCTTAAGGACATGGTGAGGAGTATTTCTACTTACTAGACTCCATTTGGATAAAAGCCATAAAGATTACAACGTACATCCTTAAATTGAGTATCCAGAAGGTAGTTTATGTAACCAATAAGTGCAATAAGGACCTTGCACATTTAGGGTTGTCCAACTTAGGAAATACCTTGTAAGGTACAAGAAGGTATAATGGACGAAAGAATTAACTTATACATTGTTGGCTCCTCAATAGTACTCTCGAGGCTAAAAGTTTTATAATTCCACCTCAAGAAGTTTTATAATGAGAAATAGAAATTTCTTGAGTATATTGAGTTTTGGGGGTAAGGAACCATATGGAAATGCTGTTACTGCACAAACTCAACAAACTCAAGAAATGCCATCAATTAGGATATCCACAAAGCAGTTGTATCTTCTTTGAACATAAGGTTGACGCCATCTCAGGTTCATATTATTCTAGTCATGCACAGTTCTAGTTATGAAAAGTGGATTGATGTCACGTGGTGAAGTCAATGAGAGATATAAGGCATGTTGGTCTCTAAGGCTTTACTAATAAGGAAAGTGTTTGACTCAAAGAGACTTTCTCTCGGGTATATTTGAGAGACTCTTTTAGGAATATAATGGCAATGGTGGCTCATATAATCATCTCATTATTGATATCACAATGATTCTCATGTTATTAGCTCATTCAGATTTAGAGACTAATGTTGGAGATGATTGTGTATATCTTAAGTTCAATGGGAGTAAATTCTTTTTCCTGTTTTATACATCATGGTTATTCTACTTAAGGTGCAAGTAGAATAAGTTAGTAAACCAGGAGATGTGTTGTAGCTAAGGGAGACAGTTTTGGTCTCAATCAGTGCCCCAATTATATATAAGAAATTAAGATACAAAATTTCTTGAATGCATATTTGCATTAAAGATCTAATGTATACTTTCGTTTATTCTCATCCCAATAAAGCATTTCTAGTAAGAGTCTTTGGCAGATATTTGTTTGGTCTATGCATGAAACGCTAGAAGGATTCAAACGTGTAACACGTTTACTAAAGTTGATAAAAGAATTCATGCAAAATTTGTTAGAGATCATTAAGTACTCTGACTCTGATGTTACAGGATGTCAAGGTAGCATAAACTCTACATCAGGTTACCCTTCAGTGTTGGGTAGAGTTCAAATCACATCTTGCGCTTCCTATTATGGTTGCAAATTTTTTGTCACTAGAATGACATTGGTAAGTTATTAAAGGTTAACAGTGACAATAATTTGATAGTGATACACTATCATTACCATGGATTTCAGAAGTCAAATATATTGACATCAAGTTCCTGGTGGTTAAGATAAAGTTCAAAATAGATAAGTTTCTATTGAACATTAAGGAAATGACTAATGCTAGCTTATCCATTAGCCAATGGTTTGACACATAAAGTTTTTTCATGAGCATATTGCTCACATGAGTGTTATTCCGGATGGTACCTTGGTTTAGTGGGAGTCGTTTAAGTATGTTCAATAGTTATGACTAAACTAATTTCTGCAGAATAAAGTGATGGTTTTCTATAGTCTATTTGAAAATTGAAGTGCCTTCAGTTATACAGTGATCATATTGTATGAAGGAATTTCAGTTAATCTCACTAAGGACTAAAGTAGGACCAGTTGGAAATAGGCATGTTCAGATCACATTGCATGTAAATTTCATGCCACTCATCCATATTTGATCTATGTCATTGAGTGTATTGGTGTGGTGATCATGGTGGTTTAATCATTATCGTATTGTGATTAAAGTCGCGTTGGTTCCATTATTGATACATGAAGTGGACCAGATTGTTTCAGGAGATGTCTAAGTACAAATAGCATACGGTTGCGCGCCTACAGAATTATGTGATATGATTTTTTCAAGAAAAATATGCAACCCAAGTGGGAGATTGTTAGGAAATTCCATTTCCTAATTAATTATATGGGCCACATATTTTACACAATCATATTAGCTATTTGTTTAAGTGGGCTAATTGTAAGTGATCTAATTGAGGAGCCCAAGACTAATCAAACTCAATATGGATCCAATGGGTGGAAACCCAATACTTGGTCACCTTGGGTTTTATGGGAGCCCATGGTGATTAGTTGACGACTCGATATTTGCACATGTTTTCCCCTTTGTTTCTTGATCGTTTGAGATTTAATTATCGTGTCTTTGGCCTATTTTATGATAGGTTGTGTTCCTTTGTCACATTTCAGGTCCTAGCACATAAAGTGAAGCATAGGCACAAGTTTCAAGTCAATCAGAGATCAATTGGCGATTAGGGAGAAGAAACTCGGGCATGACCTGAAGAAGAATGGATTTATACCTCACTTTAAGGACAAATAATCATGCAAGGTAGTCATTAAAAGAAAGAGGACGAGACTACGAGCGTCTGGGATCAAACGGCGACTGATTCGGAGTCCGGACGAGGGAGAAACGAAGCATTGAATATAGGGGAACAGGTTCGGCAGTAAAAACACGGGCACGCCTAAATCAAAACACGGCCGTGCCCAGATTTAGGCACGACCGTGTTTTGGCCGACGCGCGCGGGCGTGTTTTTAACACGGGGCAAAACACAGGCGGGCAAAAGCAAAACACGGCCGTGTCCTCGACAGTGTTTTGCCCAGAATCAGGTTTTTTAAGCCAATTTCGAGCCAAAGGAGAGGGGGAACTGGGTTTTGGATCCCAAACACCCAAGGGACGAACCAAAGAGAGAAAGGGAGATCTGAGGGCATTCTAAGAGTGGAATTGGATGACTTCTTTGCCTTGGAAGCTCGAGGAACAAGCCCGGACTTGAAGACTGATAATCTGAATATTCTTACTGCAGTCTCTCTCTTCTCTATGGAGTAACTTCCCTTCACTTAGGTTTTGAGGAACCGTAGCTATGTTTGTTTGATTGGATGATTGTATGAGTACTCTGACTTGATAATCTCGAGTTCATATTCAATCTATGCATGTTTTCATGATTCAATTCTGCTTTAGTCGAGATTATTGATTCTGCTTTGATCCTATGAGAGCGAATACCTGATTAGGTCAATAGAGCACCATAGATTGATAGTAGTGGATCGATTGCTTTAGTCGAGGGTTGATTCACTGCTTTGTATCGATTGAGAACCTCTTTCGATAGAGGGAGTCTAGTTCAGAACGCCTTGATCAGTTGTTCTAGAGAAGGATACGTCCCTCTAGGCAATTGACTCAAGAGGGCCTTGTTCCTTTAGTCGAGACTCAAGGTCTAGTCAAGGATTCTCCGCATTTTGAATGAAAGTGAAACAAGTTAGAAATCATCAATCGTTAATCTGGCTAGTGGCTAGGGGGAATCATACCTAAGTGAGTTCCCAACGTGTAATTAGATTAACTTTAACTGTAGTTTGCTAGAGTAGTTTTAGTTCTTTCATCTTAATCTGGTTTGCTAAATAATAAACTGAAGCTGAGTAATAGTAACTCTAGACACCCATGGATTCGATATTTATAACTTGAGCCACTATACTGCAGTCCCTTTCATTGGTTACACTTGGCCATTGTTAGGTGTTGTGTCGTAGCGAGTCAAGTTTTTGGCGCCGTTGCCGGGGACTTTCTATAGTATTAGGAAAGGCAGAAGCTTGTTACTTTAGCGTTTTTCTTTTCTTTTCTTTTCCACCCTTGCTTTTCACTTGGGTGTTTTTGTTTCTCTTGGTGCAGATTTGAATCATGGATCCTCATGGCTTCTCTAATCATTGGGGGTATCCACCACCATCCGAGTGGTATTACCCCGAGACTCCCTGGAGCAATCAAGGAGGAGAAGACTATGGATTCGGGTTCCGGTACCAACCCCCTTACTACGGAGAACAACCGGACCCCTGGGCATATCCAGAACAACCTCATTATCAAGAAGAATTTCTCCCACAACCAGAAGGGCCATCGGAGCTGGAGTTACCCATGGCGGCCTTCACGGGCCATTCTGCAGAGCCATGCTACACTCCACAGCCAGATCCAAACTATGAATTGAGGCTTCTCATGGAGCATTTTGCTCGAGATTGTGAGAGATCATGCTCCAGGATGAATCATTGTGTCCAGGCCTATCGTGAAATAGAGGAGATCCTCCTGAGCCTTAAGAAGAGCACCGATGATCTTGAGGGATCTTTCGCACAACCTGCTCCAGATCACCCTTCTGCTACCATACAAGAAGAGGAGGAGGAAGAAGAAGGCTACAAGGACATAGTGGAGCACACTGAAGTTGTCACGGAGAGCTCCCGTGATGATCATGATCAGAAATGTCATATCATAGCCGACCACACTTTCCCACATCCCAAACTGAGCTTTGAAGAGGCGGGCATGAGTGAGGAGATGCAAGAAGATCTCATGAAAGAAATTTCTTGGCAACTTGCTCTCCAATCCGTGCTAGAAGAAGAAGAGCAAGAAAGGGTGCAGAAAGAAGTTGTGGAGGATGACGAAAATGAAGCAGGAGGAGTTCTTGATCATTTCCCAGGGGTGATACCACATGAACAAGGAAGGGAGGTTGAAGAAGCAATTGGCGTCCAGGCTGAGGACGAAGTTGAGGTGGAAGAGGCTTGCACCGGCCATGAGTTACATTTGATATCTCCACCAAACTTCGAGGAACTACTTAGCAAAGATCCATTTGCAGTGTCTCTTTGCCATACCAAGGTCACGTCGACATCGGTCACTCTTGGTGGACGCGATGGTGGTCAATCGATGCTGTCATATCTGGTTTGGGGCAATGAGACGAGAAAAGAGAAGAAGAGGTCTCGAGGGTGGAGACTTCATCCGCATCAAGTGCACGAGCTTCCATCACCCGTCATACCACATGCTCGTGACTTGAGACTCCACCTCATTGACGAGAACCTCAACTTCAAGGAGGTTTTGGGGTGGACCGAAACTTAGGAGCCATCGTCCGGCTCACGACGTGAAAGAAGCGCTTGTTGGGAGGCAACCCAACCAGTCGGTTTGCATTTCTTTCTCTTTTTCTCCTCGGTTGAGTAAGTTTTGTTATTTGATTTTAGAGTCAATAACTCAACCTTTGTGAGATTTTGTGTGGTGTTTGTGGTCTGACCACTCTCTCCTCCTGGAATACACCGCCTGCCCCGTCCACCATCATTCACCCTAGATCTGGTAACTTCGTTCTACCCTCCTTATCTTTCCTCCATTGAGGACAATGTCGTGCTTAAGTGTGGGGGGATGTTCGATTATGTATGCGGGTGAATGTTCGGCTGTTTGTGTGCTTGGAGCCTAGTCCACTGTCCAAATTTTTAAATTTGAGGGCTCCAAGTACGTGTTTCCTTGCAAATTGCCTGCTCAGTATGCTTTAAATTGACAGTCTCTATAGTAATGTGCAACTTAGGGAGGTAGGGTAGCACTATGGAGGATGTTGAAGTATAAGATTTTTCCTATCTAGCTCTCTGTTGTGCCAGTTGATTTTGTGAATTAGTGGAGCTAAGACCGTTGAATTCATGTGGTAATGGTGACTATGTTTGGATTGTGTTATGGACTCGTGTATCGAACAGGGTGCTCATGTGAAAAATGAAAAGCAGTTGGTCCTCCATGTCAAAATCATAAAATCTTAAACATGGGGTAAGCCCAATGTGTGCGGCACCGTTCATTGCACCAAATCGGGTTTTGGAAGAGATTTTAGTGATCCTTAGTGGGGTACTCCTACAAGGTGAAGCTAAGCTGTCTCTAGTACAAGTAAAACTTCCACCCGTTGAACGGTTTGCCTACTTGACGATGTGTTTTTAAGGGCACGGATAGAGCTTCCGACCCCCTTAATTTCATTGACCCTCCACACGAGTTGAGGAAAAGGAGTTAAAAGAAGTACTCTGGCGAGCGCCAGGTGTACAGAAATTGCTCTTGCTCGACTAATAAGGGTCGACCGTGCAAAAGACTGCAGTTGGAACCCCCGGCAAGTGAATGAAATAAGAAAAAAAAATAAAGTAAAATGAAAGCGAAAAGGGGTTCCAACGGTGAAATGAAGTGAAAGAGCACCCCGGTACAACGAGTCCTTGGTTGTGAATGGTGTGAGTCCCTTTATCCATGAACTGACTGTCTTACTTCTACTTCTTCTCATGATCCTGGCTTGAGTCTGGTACTCGCATTGAGAGAGATAGGGAACGTCTTAGAAGACCAGTTGACCTCGTAAGCTGCTATATGATCTAGGAAATCCTCTACCGACGATCGGGATTTTATGTTCCTATAGAGGTCTGGAAAGCTGCATTGGTTTGAGTTAGGTTTGCTTGGGGACAAGCAAACGGTTAAGTGTGGGGGGATTTGATGACTCGATATTTGCACATGTTTTCCCCTTTGTTTCTTGATCGTTTGAGATTTAATTATCGTGTCTTTGGCCTATTTTACGCTAGGTTGTGTTCCTTTGTCACATTTCAGGTCCTAGCACATAAAGTGAAGCATAGGCGCAAGTTTCAAGTCAATCAGAGATCAATTGGCGATTAGGGAGAAGAAACTCGGGCATGACCTGAAGAAGAATGGATTTATACCTCACTTTAAGGACAAAGAATCATGGAAGCTTGTCATTAAAATAAAGAGGACGAGACTACGAGCGTCTGGGATCAAACGACGACTGATTCGGAGTCTGGACGAGGGAGAAACGAAGCATTGAATATAGGGGAACAGGTACGGCAGTAAAAACACGGGCGCGCCTAAATCAAAACACGGCCGTGCCCATATTTAGGCACGACCGTGTTTTGGTCGACGCGCGCGGGCGTGTTTTTAACACGGGGCAAAACACGGGCGGGCAAAAGCAAAACACGGCCGTGTCCTCGACAATGTTTTGCCCAGAATCAGGTTTTTTAAGCCAATTTCGAGCCAAAGGAGAGGGGTAGCTGGGTTTTGGATCCCAAACACCCAAGGGACAAACCAAAGAGAGAAAGGGCGATCTGAGGGCATTCTAAGAGTGGAATTGGATGATTTCTTTGCCTTGGAAGCTCGAGGAACAAGCCCAGACTTGAAGACTGATCATCTGAATATTCTTACTGCAGTCTCTCTCTTCTCTATGGAGTAACTTCCCTTCACTTAGGTTTTGAGGAACCCTAGCTATGTTTGTTTGATTGGATGATTGTATGAGTACTCTGACTTGATAATCTTGAGTTCATATTCAATCTATGCATGTTTTCATTATTCAATTCTGCTTTAGTCAAGATTATTGATTCTGCTTTGATCCTATGAGAGCGAATACCTGATTAGGTCAATAGAGCACCATAGATTGATAGTAGTGGATCGATTGCTTTAGTCGAGGGTTGATTCACTGCTTTGTATCGATTGAGAACCTCTTTCGATAGAGGGAGTCTAGTTCAGAACGCCTTGATCAGTTGTTCTAGAGAAGGATACGTCCCTCTAGGCAATTGACTCAAGAGGGCCTTGTTCCTTTAGTCGAGACTCAAGGTCTAGTCAAGGATTCTCCGCATTGTGAATGAAAGTGAAACAAGTTAGAAATCATCAATTGTTAATCTGGCTAGTGGCTAGGGGGAATCATACCTAAGTGAGTTCCCAACCTGTAATTAGATTAACTTTAACTGTAGTTTGCTAGAGTAGTTTTAGTTCTTTCATCTTAATCTGGTTTGCTAAATAATAAACTGAAGCTGAGTAATAGTAACTCTAGACACCCGTGGATTCGATATATATCACTTGAGCCACTATACTGCAGTCCCTTTCATTGGTTACACTTGGCCATTGTTAGGTGTTGTGTCGTAGCGAGTCATTAGTATATAAGGAACTCTTGAGGTTGTGGTCCCCAACACACCAAGACCAAACACTCTCTTCTTCTCCCCATCAGGAAGATCAGAGGATTCGCGTAGAGGAAATGAGGCGGCTTGGTTGAGGAAGATTACAGAACCTCCCGGGTCGTACTCTCAGAAGTATCGTCCGGCGTTAGATTGATGTCCAATTCCGCATCAAGATCGAGACGATTATCCGACACGAATTCGGGTAATTCCACAAACCTTTGATTATCTAACAAGATGATTCTAGTGAATTGCTAATGGCAAATTCAATTTCTTTCAAAACATGCCACCCATTTTCTTGAGCTAAATTAATACACAGTACGAGTATCTAGTCTCGGCACCTCTCCGATTGAGTAAGGAAAACCAAAACCCTTATGTTATTCAAAGCTTTCATTGGCAATAATTTCTTCTGGGCACTTTTACTATGCTATATAGCACTGGTGTTTTAATGTATAACTTGAAGTTGTACCATAACATTAAATGTATAAGTTTAGGTTGTACCATAAAAGAATTTGTATCATTATGTTATGGTACAACTTCAATGTACAAGTTCAAATTGTACCATAAAAGAATTTGTACAAAAAGTATAGGTACAATCTGAAATTGTACCATAACGTTAAATGTACAATTTCAAATTGTACCATAAAGACAAAAACCTATAGCACCAATGCTATATAACATTGTAAAATTCCCCATCTTCTTATGCAATTTCTTCAATATGATTATCAATTCTGAATACGATAATTCTTTGACGAGCGTGACTCCTTTCTTGATTGCGGCTTTCATCATCGTCCCACGACATCGTTTGTGTGGTCAGAGATAGTCCAGTGATTCAAGTTTGTCCCAAATAGGTAGCAATCCGCTGCAAACTTAAAAGCAGATGATTCGTTCACCGTGTAAATGACATCGTCATCCATGTCGGATGGTGCACAGTGGCAGATGATGACATAGTCGAAACTCAGCTGGGTTAGATCATCCATGTGGCTGGAATAATTATGTTTTGATACTTGCTGTTAAGTTTTGGGATGGAAAAGATAACGATGCAACGAAAAGTAAGAGATTGATATGTGCTTTAATTAGTTTTTATTTAATTGGTTTTATCAATTGTTAATTAGAATAAGGATTAAATATTATGAATTGTTAGACGTGAGTTAGTTAGGGTGATTAGTGGGTTAGTGGTTACCTAGAACCAAGGGGCTTTGGCTTAAAGATAGGTGTTTACCCGTTAAGTTCATTAGTTGTAGGATTATTAGAGTTCCATTCCCTATTTAAAGTAGTAGATGGATAGATGAGAGGAATCAATCAAGTATAATCAAGAAAAGGGTTTTACACACCTACGTGTTAATTTGGGAGGTTGGCTTTCCTCGAAAAAGCCTAGGGATTCTGTTCTCGCCATTAAGAAGAACACTTCTATTCTCTCTCAATCTATCCGTTCTCCAAAAAAGTGCACGTAACATTTGGTATCAGAGCCGGTCGATCCAACAACACCTACAACAATGAATGTTCTCGCAAAACCACTTGATTTTATGATGGAGGAGATGGTGCAAGAGAACGCAAGGTTGAGGCAGGAGATGCGAGCGAATTTTGCAGCCCTTATCGCAAGGTTTGATCGATTTCTCGAACGACGGCAGGGAGATGGCGAACGTCATATGGAGAATGGCGAATTTATTCCAAACCAGAACAAGCTTGTAGAAGGGCAAGTAGCCAACTAGCAAGTTCAAGTTCGTCAAGGACGAATTGAAGGGCGATCAGACCAGTAGCAAACCTTCACCTGGCCCTCCCAAGATGTCAGTTGAGCAACCTACGCCATCAGCGACAGTCGCCATGCCGCCGGCGAGCATGTCACACCCATCGACCCCCACCATGATTGTTGTCCAAGTTGAGGCGCTGCACGAAGCTAGCTTGCCGCAAGTCACCATCATCTCCTCGAAAATCGTCGCCGCTATACAAGACGTCAAAGAGGATGAAGCCATTATCAAAAGTGTTGCTTGCGAGCTCATTGACCCAAAAAATAAAAAGGCCGATGGAAAAAATGCTATTGGGAAGTTTGATGATTATCAAGGTCAAGGAAACACCATGCCAAGTTTACTATTGGAAGAAAGGGGTCCTTCTTGGGCTAAAAAGCAAAATTTGGCAATGGGAGCTTATCGTCTCAACTATGGTGGTTCATGCTCTCTAGAGATCCAGGTTGAAGAAGACGTCCGAAGTTCATGGTTGATTCTTGTGGTCAAGAATCTTTTCAAGGTGATGGAATGTCATGTGCTTTAATTAGTTTTTATTTAATTGGTTTTATCAATTGTTAATTAGAATTAGGATTAAATATTATGAATTATTAGACGTGAGTTTGTTGGGGTGATTAGTGGGTTAGTGGTTACCTAGAACCAAGGGGCTTTAGCTTAAAGATAGGTGTTTACCTGTTAAGTTCATTAGTTGTAGGATTATTAGAGTTCCATTCTCTATTTAAAGTAGTAGATGGATAGATGAGGAGAATCAATCAAGTATAATCAAGAAAAGGGTTTTACATACCTACGTGTTAATTTGGGAGGTTCGCTTTTCTCGAAAAAGTTTAGGGGTTCTGTTCTCACCATTAAAGATAACACTTCTATTCTCTCTCAATCTATCCGTTCCTCCAATCTTCTTATTCCTATTCCAATCTTTCTCGTAAATTCTATTCTCCGAAAAAGTGCACGTAACAGAGATATGTGTAATGTGATTTAGTTGCAACAAATATGCCTTATGTGGTCAAACTGCAACAAGTCTATAAGGTAAGTGATATACAATGCAATTAACCCCACCAATTGCCAGCAACACCAAGTTAAATTGCTTGAAGTCGTCAAAACCCAATCACCCGTCTCTTTTAGAAAAGAAAAATACTAGCATTACACAAATGAAAGGATTTCTTGGACATGAAACCAAACAAAAGAAGTTGCGACTTACGAACAATCAAATCCATCTTGTTTGGTGAGCGACACATGCAGAAGAAAAAGGCACATCATGAATGTCAAGAGGGCTTAAATATAGCCGTAGAAAAGTCCTCTATCTTGATGATGCCAGTATTTCGGTTGAGACATGAACTCCCAAATCCTCTGCTGGTAGAGGTGACCGATTTTTAATCTAATCCACAAATCCATTCCAATTCATCCACTTAAATATTCAATTAATCCAATCCATTTAAATCCAATCAATTTGATTCAAATTCAATTGGATTGGTGTTCTTGCATCTTTGTATATAAACCTATGGGTACCCATGAATCCGCGGGTTGGGTTTTACCCCAAATTATTTTGGTTGATAAACCCATGAATTTAGATTTGTAATGCTCCAACCCGACCTATTGTCATCCCTAAATCCAATTGCAACCTCTACCTACTTCTCCCTGGTCTAACGTAGATTTCAAGTGTTTTTCTTTAGAGATCTCAAGTCTTTTTGTTTACTCATCTTTTAGGCCTTTTGGTTGGGGGGTTTTCGGATACCACCCTACATGAGTGAAAACAAACATAAGTCCAGTACCAGAGTTAAATGCTACATGCAATTTAAAGTATGATCAGAAATCATAACATAGTGGCAACAACATTAGTCATAATACAGGTGCTAGTAAATACAGTGGCCATAGATACAGAACCAAATTTCAATATAGCTGTAGCCTTAATTGAAGATCACTAAACACTCATCCTACTGCCTTCCTGTACCAAAGGTGACTTGGGTGCATGGAAGCTAGAGCTACTTCCTAACTTGGATGTTGATCGCACCAATGGGACCAGCGATTGTACCACATCTGCCATCAGCGGTCTGTAATCTGCCTCTGGCTGCACGCACATTGCCGCTATTGCTGCCACCTGAACAACCTCTTTCATGGAGTACTGACCCTCCAATGCTGGATCCATTATTTGGATGACCTTCTCTCTGTCAGTCAGACTCGGCAGGGCCTTTTTTAACCATTAGAAAGAAAGGGTTCAGTGAATAGACTACAAGTAAATTTGGAAAGACACCAGTTCAAAACTGACCACAGTACTTTTCTTTTGTTTCGTGTGGGGGGTTTTCGAGCAACCTAATTGTTTAATATTGCAAGAGATGGGATTCTTCTTACCCAGGATACAAGAACACCTTCGCCCGGCGGTCTCTTCATGTCAACTGGAACTCTGCCGGTAAGCAACTCCAAGAGAACAACTCCATAGCTGTAGACATCGGATTTCGTGGTCAGGTGCCCCGTTAACGCATACCTGCATTGATAAGATAAATGTGGCATTATAGTGTAAAATGGAATATTCAAACATTACTGGAAGTTTATACTTACTCAGGGGCAACATATCCTTGAGTTCCAAGCACTCGAGTGGAAACATGTCCCCCAGCTCTCTCAGGTCCCAGCTTGGCTAATCCAAAATCAGAAACCTTAGCATGGAAGGTTTTATCCAGGAGGATATTGCTGCTCTTAAAGTCTCTATGAATGACTGGAGGACTGACATGTTCATGGAGATATTCTAGTCCCTTGGCCGCTTCTAGGGCTATTCTCAACCGTGTTTCCCAGTCTAATTTCCTGTATGTGGCATTAGAACCTGCATATTTTGATGACATCAACAAAGCAGGTTATATTTTAAGATATGGACGAAGCACTTTGCAAAGGAACAATCTAATCGATCATTTTGATGCTCTCTTCTGGATTAGAACAGAACAAATCCCAATTGAGAGTAGCAAATATGCAAGGCTACATAGCTACATAGGATCAGTATTCTTGGGGATGACTGTCATCCTTACACCTCGTTGTTGTTGCTTTTCTGTGGGACAAGCCCAGCAACGTTTCAATTGTTAGTCACAAACAAACTGAAACAAGTAACACTTCGCTAAAACTCACCAGGGAGAGGATACAAGTGTTCTTGCAGGCCACCATTCGCCATAAAATTGTAAACTAGAAGCTTACGGTTGTTATCCGAGCAATACCCCAGCAATGCTAGCAAGTAGGGGGAATGAAGGCGACTCAGTAGCTCCACCTATAATTGAGCAAGACGAATCCAATCACCATGCAATTCATATGTTCCCAACACTTGAAGCCAAGATAAATCTGATATCTGAACTGGAAGAAAAACTGGTAAACTGAGTTGCCAAGGCAAAAACAAAAAACCTCCACTTCAAATTCCTCTTCACCCTGCTTCCCTTCTTGGTCCATGACCTTAATTGCAACTTTTCTTCCATCGCTAAGAACGCCACGGTAGACGGAGCCAAATCCACCATGACCCACGACGTTTGACTTGCTGAAACCGCCTGTGGCGGAATGAAGCTGCTTGAACGTGAATACATGTAGTCCATTCTCAGTGGCCACTTTAAGGTTGGAGAAACCACCCTTCTCGTCGATACCATTTCCTGTGGGAAAACAGGAACAATTGAAATGAACAAGCACCCAAAAAATCGATAATTCAAACTGCGGAAAGCTGCAGATTCGAAAATAAGATAATAGAAACAGAACTCTTTCGATAATCAAGCGAACATTTCAATCTAAAGCGTCAAATGTGATTCACTGGATTCCGAACTAAACAACAAGACTACCAAAATATTTTCACGTTTCAGCAATCCTATTTTCTCGCCAGCCAAACGCCCTGTGGCAACAAATGGTAGTGAGATTAACTCATCAAAGCGCAAAGTCCATTATGCCAAATGATGTTCCACTCCGCGCCAGAATGAAAAAATGAAAAGAAAAACTAAAACAAGAAAACTTTGCATTTCGCTTTCTTGCCCAGCTTTCTTATCCTTTCCTACAAAATCTCAGGAACCAAAACAGGGCGGCAGACAGAAATCTCATACGATGAGAACGAAAATGCGGCTTACTCTTGAGGCTAGCGAGGCGTTTAGAGACCTTGTTCCGGATGTAGCAGTAGTAACTAAACGCCACCAGAAGAGCAGCGATGGCCATCGAGGACACAACGACGACGGCTAGAAGAGCAACGCGAGCTTTCCTTCTGTAATCATCATCGTCTGTGTACATTTTGAGGTACCTCTAAAGCTAACCCTAGCTATTCGAAAGTGGAGCTGAGCAGGAGAAGGAAAAACCGAGTAAGTAACTTTCGAGTATTGACCGCAAATTTCTGCTTCTTTCTTGTTTTTCTCCTCTCCCTGCGACTGCGAATGTGACCCCTGTTTTGGTTGGTTCGTGTAGGTGGGGCATTTGTCTTGTGTACACTTTTGTCTTGTTTCTGGCGCGGGGAACAGCGGAGCACTATTCTCATTAAAATAATTTATTCCGTTTGTTTTAATTTTAATTTCAAATCTATCTATCTATAAAAATACTAGTATAGGGCCGGCCCGTTGGCCGGCTAGATGCCATTAATCCAGCCATAATCTAATGGACGGCCCAGTCGGAAGTGTATTTCATTTATCAACTGAATTACGGGCCCAATTTTTCCCCCTTTGCTTTTATAAACTGAGTAAATTTATTAATTAAAGAAATAGTAACCCAAAACCAAAGAGAAACGGTTCAACTTCCTTCTTCCCTTCCATTTCTTTGTTCAGGCTCCAACGAAGACAGCAAACGGCACCAAATTCATTGCATGGACGTCATTCCTTCTCGTCCTGTCTGCGCGACTGAATGTATTCTTAGTTCCAGCAATTAATTTCCAAACCCTACCTCTTCACATCTGTTCTTTCAGTCTTTCTACAGTAGCGAAGCTTTTGGTAGACTCTGATAATCCAGTCGAAGGTGCCCAAAACGTTTCCAGATTATGTGAAGGTATATGCATCTAAACCGGACTACGAATCCTATGATTGAAGTTTGTTTTCTCCCGATCTACTAACATCTTAGGTTTCAGGAAATGTTTCAGTTCAAGACTCCAAGCAAAACCTTGCGAGCTTCACAGGTACGTTTGTTTCCATGATTTCTCATACAATGTGGTTGGATCTATTAAAATAAGGAACATGATTAGTTGTGATTTATTCGATTGTAAGACAGTATTAATCCATAGTTGAGAACGTATAGTTCAATCTGATTTTCTTGGATCTGATTACAAACTGTGTGTTGCATACAACCAAAACATTGTATATTGGTTGTTTAGTACGTAGTGGAGTTCAATCATGGGTATAACAGTTTCCATTGAAGTTCGATAAAACAGTATATAGTGTTGTAGTTAAGAATCAATTATCCAGATAAGGATAAAAGATGAATAAGTCAAAAGAAGTTAAATCCAGGTCCTATTGAAAAATTCATCGAAGGATTGAAAGAGTCATGTCTAGTTTTGATATTGTTTGTTTATCTTCCTTTGTACATTATTAGTTGATTAGTGTAGAACTCTAACCTCTTTTTATATAATTGATCAGAGTCTATTTGATATTGGTCAATTAAAATAGGAATTGGTTATTAATTCAACATTGCAAGTGTGATATGCATTGTGGTCCCAAACAACAACTAACAATGTTTGTTTTGATGATCCTAAAATGGCAGCTACGTCCAAAAATAGAGATTGAGTAGAAGGAAATAAGTTTTACTTATATTTGAAAATGGATATCATACCTGAATGGAACCCGTGAGTAATTGTTTTTTAACAAACTCATAATAAACATATTGTTGTGTTGTCACCACTTCTCATTACAATTGCTAATATTGATAATGATATAAATCATAGGTTT